TGCAATTCAATTCTCCCTTCTGACATTATGTAAGGTGCCGGGCTGTGCTAAGCCTCCAGAATGCCATGGATGGCGACAGATTAGGGAAAATTAAAAGTTCTTTCATTAAAATTAAAAGAAAGTGAATGATGCATCTTGACAAACACAGCACCCTGGAGCAGGCTGGGCTCGCCAGGAGCAGCCCTCCATCCCACCCACACTCCAACACCAACACAGCCCTTCCCGACCCATGCTGAGCTGCCAGAGCAACAACTACAGAAAGCAACAGGAAAAATGTGACCACACTGCAACCACAATGGTACCAAAACACCCAGGAATGACAGCAAGCACAGCACCCTGCACACAGTGCAGCAGCAGGTGCCATTCCTCAAACCACACCACGCAAATGGTTACTGCTGCACCTGGTGTTCTTCCCAGCACCTCCAATTAAACACCTCCTCATCATGATGCCGTTGCTCTAAAACCAAAAATACCATCCTTGATATCCCTGGTGGATTATTTTTCAGCCCGCTCCTCAGTAGATCTGTTCTACTTCAGCAATGCTGAGAAAGTGGAAAGCTTTTCAGTGCACATTCGTTTTAGGTTTTGTCCATGCAATCCTTCTCATTTCCATGAGCTCAGGGTTATGTAAAACTATTGCAATGACCAAAAGAAAAACACCCAAAGCAGCAAAACCTGCCCTTACACTACAAGCCACCTAATGGCTTCCATGCCAGCTCCAGGCACTCAGCCCTGTTATTCTACATCGATTTTCTGCAGAGCTAAAAGAGGCCAAGCAAAGCCTACCACAATTTCAATGCAAGTGTATGCAAGAGGAGTGGTGCCGACACTCACAGGGCTTTGTTTTCTCTTCCCAGCACCCACAAGTATGCAAAGCTGCAGCAGGAGGGCAGTGAGACCCAACAGATCAGCTCTGAGACTGCAGCCCAGACCCACAGCCTGGACCCACACATCAGACCCACAGACAAGACCTTTGGTCTGGATCCATAGCCCAGACCTACAGTCCAGACCTGCAGATCAGACCCACAGCCCAGATGCACAGCCCAGTCTCATGGCCTGGAGCCACAGTCCGGACCTGCAGACCTGAGCCACAACCCAGACTCACAGATCAGCCCCACATCCCAGCCCCACACAGCTCCATGCCAGCAGCCCAAGGCTGCGGTGCACTGACAGCTCCCTCCGCCCTCAGCAGCTCCATGCCCCCCAGCTGCCCCCATCACCTCTGCATCTTCGCCGTCCCCACGGCGTGGGCTCCGAGATGATGATTTCAGGAGAGCTCACAGCTCCCTCTCTTCATTAATCCTCCCGCTATTAAAGAGCCCTTCCTTCCTTCTTTCCAAAACACTGCAGCAAACGTAGACTACATGCCTCCCTTGGGGGACAACTGAAGGATTTCTACACCGCTTCTCGCTCCGCCGGCATTTAATTTGCCCTTTTTTTTTCTTTTCTGAGCAAATTGCTGTAAGAAGAGGTAAAGGATGGCACAGCACCAACGATCCACCGATGCTCCCGGAGTGAGATGAGGGGCAGCGATGCAGCCCAGGACTGGAGCCGATGAATGGTGCAGTGCTGCGGTTGGTATGGCAACGGAGAGAAAAAAAAAGCAGCCCCATATAAGGAGCTGTGACATGGATTCTGGGAACAATTTATACCAAGAGGCTGTCGGCCCTGGGATGCTTTAAAGCCGCAGCGTCCCCTTCTCGTCGTTTTGCAGCTGGCATTGTTTGGCTGGAAGGAGATGTGTGCATGGGGAGCCTTGCACAGACTGCAGAGGAGCAAGGTGGTTTTGCAGTGATTTCCAAGCAGAATGCCTGAAGGAACGATGAAGGGAATGGCACTGAGCTGATGGTGCCCCAAAGGAAGGCCTGAGCACTGCGATGCAGCAACCTGCAGCAGCAGCACGGAGCACCAGCACCACAATGGGGACAGAGCATCCTCGGGTGCATGGGTGCACAGTAAGGCAGCTCAGACACAGCTACCATAGCAATCTGAGGCACAGCCATGGTTTAGAATCTGTGCTGCAGCACAAGGGGAAAAAAAACCCCACTATTTTATGCTATTATCCATGGGAAAAACACGTTATCTTGCACTACAGCCACATTGTTTTATGCTGTTGCCAGTGTCTTTCACCCAATGCATGCACAGGCAGCACACTGCAAGCACAGGAGCTGCAGCTCCTGCACCATGAGCTGATGCACAGGTTGCTCCCAAGGCCCTGCTCAGCAAGCACTATTTAAAGCCTTTAGAAACGCTCCCACTCGGAAAGAATTAAGTTTGCAACCTGTTACCCAACAGGAGAATTAAAAATAGCCGAGGACAGTGAGGAATAAAATTACCCCCATGTGTGCAAATGGGAATGGCTCAGGACTGCAACCAACACATCCATCTCTGCGGCACCCAGAGATGCACAGCAATGCTTTCTCTGGGGTACGCAATGCACTGCCCTGCTTGCATTGCAGCCACAGTGCAATGATGTGTAACAGTGCTGTGCAGCAGGAGCAGCAACTTCCAAGTGCCAGCGTGCCTGCAGGGAAACCAGAATGGTCTGCATGCTTACCTGGGCTGCAAGCATTGTTTGGGGTTGCTTTGGTGCTTTATTACTATCTTCTCAGGTACACTTTGCACTGGGCTTCCTAATAAAGCTGTCATTATAAAGAGAACAAATGCAGTGACAGACTTTGCATGCACTGCTCTAAAGCATCCTCAGCCACTGCTGCCCCACTGCTACCAATGCAGGAGGGGGCCAGAGCGCCATCAATTATGCTCAGTGTTAATTCACCCCTCAGTGCAATGATGACCCTTAGCTTTTCATTAATCCAGCAGAAGGGAAATTGCAAGCACACTGAATATTTATCAGCCCTGCACCAGGGCTCTGCAAACTGAGGGATCAGGCTGCCAGTGAGCAAGGCAGCCCTCTGCTGAGGAAATCATGGCACCACGGGGTGGTGTTCAACCCAAAGTGGAGATCATCACTGTGGCATGGATGGAAAACTGACCTGTACACAAAGCAGCAGATCCACTGCTTTGAAAGATGACATTAAAGCCAACAGACAGTGCTGCTGTATCTGCTGAGCAGGCTTCTCTGTGCTCTACAGCCTCATTTCTCTTTCTAAAGGGTGAAATTAAGACGGTAATTAAGGGATGCTGGCGATGCCCATGGAGAGGGCCAGCCCCCACAGCCTGCCCCATCACTGCTGCTCCTGCTATGGGAACGCAGCCCTGCAGCACTTCAGCCCTGGAATGAGAACCAATCCCTCCTCCACTTCCAGCCCTGGAGAACTGCACACAGCACACAACAGCAGGGTGGCACAGCCATGCCGTGTTGCAAAAGGTCCTACATCTCCAGGGGGAAAAACACACAGAGCCAACACAGCATCAGGTGCCATGCAGGGCACCATCCCACTGCCCGAGCACCATGCATACGGATGTGGTGACATGGATGGGTTGCTTGCACAGAACACAGAACAACTGGATAAGCCCTCAATGATTTTCTCTCCCCTCTGCCTGCAGCTGCAGGGATGCTCAGCGTTTGGAAGCTCTGAGATGGGTTATAAATATGAGGAAGTTAAGAAACGGGTGAGGAGATGTGAGCAACACCACAAATAACAACCAGCAGCACAACGCTGCTCCTCCAGCTCCTTCACACGTCACCTCAGTGAAAGCAAACAAATCCCTCTAATGACTGCACGAGGCTGCCCAGCAAGCACCTCCCTTTCACCCTACCAACAGTAAATTAAACTAATAATGACAAAAATCACACTACGCCACCGACGCACGCTTTGAATTTCAAGTATGTTGGAGCTCCACCGAAGGCATCACGATGTGGATGTGTGAAATCAGAGGCTGTGCTGGCTCTGCTTGGGATGAGGTGTTTAAATGGGTGCAGAGGCACTCGAGTACAAAGTAGCCCACCTTCCCAATGGGGCTCCAAGGGATGCACAGGGCTCCAAAATGCAGCTCTGAAGGAGGAGCTGGCTGCTAACAGAAAGGCAGGAAGGCAAACTGTAAGGTTTACAGGCTGACCAGCGACCTGCTTGTACCTCATCTCAGGTGTCTCACATTAATGACCCTAATTACCAACGGAGATGAAAAGCTTCATTTCAGGGTTACCAGAACCCAGCATGGGAGCAGATGTAAGCCCACAGCTTCTGCTCTATCAATGCACATCCAGATGGGCACGGACCCGAAGCAGCCCTCCTCCTCCTCCTATCCCCACCTGCACCCACAGCATCACGTCCTGCTGCACTCAGCACAGAACAGCAGGGTGGGGTTGGATGCCTTCAGAGTCCCCTCCATCTCTAAGAGTTTCGTGGTCCTATGAAGCTCTACGAGGGGGAATGATTTGCTGGCAAGAGAGCAGAGGCTGAGATGATGGCCGTTCCATCCATGGGACAAGGGCATGGCAGGAGATTCTCTCACACTTGGCACAAACAGAGACACCTCTCCCCACCCCCCACAGCCACGCAGCCCATCCTCAGCACAACCACGGAGCCTTTTTCAATTTCTCCTTTCACCAGTGGGCAGGAACAGCACGGCACGAAGCACAGCGGCACTCAGGGCATTGGCTGAACATTGGTCTGGAGGCTTCTCTCGGTGCAATGCTGCACCCTGGCTGGTTGATTTAAAGATGGGCACAGAAGAATGTCCAATTTTAGGCAAGAAGCAAGCTTCCCAAAGCTCCAACCAGCAGGAATGCACTGGGCTTTCCAACGGCTGCTCAACAGCAGCTGCTTTGGGAAACCCACCTGCTCTTCCATCACGAGGTGTTCCAAACCAACCCCAATGACATCAGTTAAACAAAACAGTGCAACAACATAAACAAACCCTCCAAAAAGATCCCTTCTGCCTCACGACAGCATCATTTCCCTGATGTACTCCCCCAGCCTCCAAACTTTCAGCATAAAGTTCTTTTACGGCTGCTGGGAACGCTTCCACCACCTTACACATTTTGCACCGACGGACCAAAAAAGCCCCCACCGAATGTTATTTAAAGTCCTTACCAGGCAACTTCTTCACGGGTTGGAGCCGAACACTGATAGACTGATGTGTGAGTAAGGGGGAGGATGGAAGGGAGCGGGACATGCCCTCCATAATCCGAAACTGCTGCATACCTTCGGTCACGGGGAGCGGCGGGATGGCGTAGTCTGCTTCGAAAGCACAGTCGTTCTCTGTGGAGGTGCCTGGAGGGACACAAAGAGGCAGCAAGGTGATGAGGAGAAGGTTCCACGGGTTTGGGTTCACCTCCCCCAAATCTGGCCCTTCACATAAAGAAATCGCTGCATTTCTCCAACAGCATCCCTGTGCTGCTCTTCAGATTGCAAACAGCAGCGCCGTGAACTGTTTGTTTGGGTTTTTCTTGCTTGCATTTTGAATTTAACCCCGATGAACCAAAAGCCCTTTGACTTTTTGGCATTAGTGGCCGCCCCAGCTCTGTCTGGACAATGTGGGATGCATGCAGAGGCCAACATGGGAGGACTGCAATATCACCAAAGCATAATGAGGTTGCACGCACACAGCACTCTCACAGGAACCAGGTTTCAGCTCTCAGTTCTGCTGCCCACAGCCCAGCACAAGAACAGCTGCTCCCCTCCTCCCCCAAACACTCAGGTATGTTGGCTTGGAGATGGTCCTTACAGCCACAATCTGAGCTGGGCACCGATGCTTTTCGATTCGTTTCATGCTGCTTTAATTAAGCACACACGCAGGGACCCCTGCAGAGCACATCCCTTTAAGGGCGCGCGGAGCATCGTTTATCCTTCGCGTTAATTTTGCACAGTGCACTGCTGGAGTTGCAGAGAGCTCAGCAGCTCTGCTCACTGTGCAGCTCTGCTCACTGTGCAGCCCATCCCCAACCACCCATCAGCACCAGGAGGGCGAATGGTGTCAGTGCCAGCACGGCACAGGCACACACAGAGCTCAAGCACTGGTGCTTGCATAAAGCTGAGGGAAACTGAGCGATGGGAACAAAGGAATGGTCACAACGTCAGGGATCAGCCATGAAAGAGTTGGGTGCTGCACAGAGCCACGTGGAAGTGCACACAGAGGCAAGATGAGCTTTCGCTCTGGATGGAGGTTTCAAACCTGCCCAGCTGGAGCCCTCAGCCCATTATGTGAGCGTTGTGCTGCAGAATTGGGCTGAGAGCATCCATGCATGGCAGGAGCTGTGCTGCTCCACACCTCCCTGGTGTGTGCATCCAGCACGGCCTCAGGGCACACACCACCAGGATGGCACTCATAACAAGTGAAAAATTGCAAAAAAAAACCAAACAGAAAGCAAAGCCAAGCGGGTCCTCTGCTCCAAATCTGCACCAACACAGCCCAACGCTGCACACGGCAACGGAGAAGGAAGCAGCAGCTCCATGCGCTGCAAAAGAACCACTCCTGTACTCTACCACAACAACACAGCAATGCATGCAAGCTGTTGCTGAGCTCCCACAGTGAACACTGGAGAGGAACAAGGCGGCTGACAGATCTGCTTCCAGATGCAACACTTGAAGACAACAAGAGCACAGCTCCTACGTCAGCAAAGCAGTTTCGGCTGCTGACACTGCACTGCTCTGAGCAGCAGCACAGAGCTCAGCCTGCACACACAGAGAATGCAGCCGCGCTGCAAAGCGACGTGAGCTCCTGCAAACTCTGAGCAGCTCTGGGGAGTCGCAGCAGGTTTGCAGCTGCAGGGGTTGCAACGGCTGCAAGAAACAGACAGACACAGAGCAGCGCACAGAGAAGCAAGGCTACGACGGAGAGCAGCAGCAGCAGCAGCAGCAGCCATTACCTTGCCCAGAGCGGCTCTGCCGGGCGTCTACACTTGCCTGTCTTCGGTCTGGTGGCTCCTCGCTCCCTCCATCTGCATGAGAACCAAAACAGCACAAGTAGAACATGGCAGAGGAAAGGTCAGGCAGGCGCAGCTTCTCCTTGAGCCCCATGGCCAAAGGAGCCCCGCGACGAAGAAACGCAAGGCTCTCTGAAATTGCTTCCCTTTAAAGCTCTCTGCTGGGCTACAGAGCAGGCAGGCAGTGAGAACAGGACGCTGCTCACTGCCCTGAATCAATGACGATGGGCACAGAGCACGGCAGCACACAATTAATTGCACGCTGGTGTCCATCGATCTGCTGGCCAGATTAGAAACAACGGCTGTGAGCGTTGATGGGAACATTGGGGCACACGGGGCTGATGTGGGCTGGAAGCAGAAAGCAGCCCAGCTCCACTGCTGGTCAGGGAGCAGAAGAGGCCTCTGCAATGCACGGCGCTGCACTGAGGGTATGAACCCACAGCAGGGAAGGAAGCTCTGGCAGCACCCAACTCAGCTGGGATGCAAACTGCTGTGTTACCCACAGTCCCAAGAGCTGGTTCTGCATTTGGGCTTCCAGCACCAAGTATACTCATAAAACAGGAGCTGTGGATCACTGCCTGCAGCTTTTGCAACACGCACTGCTGCTCTGACCACTGCTGGGTGGGTGCGTGCAACAAATGGCCCCTCTGCAAGCATGCATGGGCAGCTGTGAGGTCAGGAAGAAAGCAAGGCAAGTCTGAGCACCAAAGAAACAGTGGGCACCAAGCAGTGCTAAGGACTGGAGGCTCCAGAAGAGCACTGTCACACAGAGCAAGGCACAGCACTCACACCACGTGTACAGCCCCAATTTATGGGAAGGAGACACTACAGAAGCCCTGTTGCCTGTTGCACAGCGTGCACCCAGCTGCATGGGATGCCACTGGGAAAGCTGCAACCTCAGAACCAAATGCAGCTGCTGTTCTTCACATGAAAGACTATTTGGGGTATTAAACTGGGTTGGAAGATTTGCATGAATTTGCAGAGTAACTTTTTCCACAGCGCTTTGCAGTGTGATGGAGGCTGAAGTGCAGCTCAGTGCATTTGCACAGTGACAGCAGATCACTTTGCATTGTGTTAACAAGACACTTCCAGTAACAAACAGCCAAACAAACTAACTTTAAAATCCCCCTGCACTAAATTTATCCCAAAGAGCCACAAAATACCCCAAAACTTATGTGTGCAGCATGCAGGAGCAGCAAGCAGACCTGTACCTTTCTGTGCAGGGATGCAGGAGTGTAAAGCAGCAACCTGCATGCAGCTGTCCTGAGCTGGTCCCACTACCAGCAGCAGGGAGGTGGATGATGCTGTATTGCCAGTGGGATGGGAGCAAAGCAATGCAGGGAGCAGCAAACAAGCAGCAGGCAGGGAGCAAGCAGCAGGTAAGGAGTATTTAGCTCATTTAGCCCTGCAGAAAAGGACCTGGGGGTCCTGATGGATGAAAAACTGAACATGAGCCAGCAGTGTGTGATCACAGCTTGAAAAGCAAATGGGATCCTGGGCTCCATCAGCAGAGGGGTGGCCAGCAGGGACAGGGAGGTGATTGTCCATCCCTGCTCTGCTCTTGTGAGGCCACATCTGCAGCACTGTGTTCAGGTCTGGAGTCCCCAGTACAGGAAAGACAGGGAGCTGTTGGAGAGGGTGAAGAGGAGCCACAAAGATGATCAGGGGACTGGAGCACCTCCCTACAAAGACAGGCTGAGGGAGCTGGGCTTGTTCAGCCTGGAGAAAAGAAGGCTGTGGGGTGACCTCATTGCAGCCTGCAGTACCTAAAGGGAGCCTACAAACAGGAGGGGAATCAAGTCTTCGAAAGGGGAGATAACAGCAGGACAAGGGGAAATGGTATGAAGTTGAGGGAGGGAAGATGGAGGTTGGATGTCAGAGGGAAGTTCTTTGCTGTGAGAGTGGTGAAGTGCTGGAACAGCTGCCAGAGAGGTTGTGGATGCCCCGTCCATCCCTGGAGGTGTTCAAGGCCGGGTTGGATGGGGCCCTGGGCAGCCTGGGCTGCTATGAAATGTGGAGGTCGGGGGCCCTGTGTGTGGCAGGGGGTTGGAGCTTCAGATCCTTGAGGTCCCTTCCAACCCTGGCCATTCTGTGATTCTACGAGCAGGCATGGAGCAGCACTGCAGGTCACACCGTCAGCACGCAGCACAAAGATGAGAGCAGATCACTGCACAGCACTGCACTGCTGGAGGCCTTGCAGGGACCACAACAGCCATAGCAGAGCTGCAGCCGTGGAGCAATGCAGACACACACAGGGTGGGAGGGCTGAGCAGCGGTGACTCAGCACTCGGTGCTGATGCAGCTGAATGGGAGCAGAGTGCTGAGGGCTCACAGCAAGGGGTGGCAGTGATGCAGCTGAGGAACAACACCACGCTGTTACACGCTGCCTGCAAGTTTTCTGCACGTGCACGCAGAAAAAGGAGGAAATAACTGAGAGAACACCACGAGGTGCACGTTCCCTGAGCTCTGCACGCTGAAGCAGCAGGCGGGAGCAGCACGCTGTGCATGGCTGCCCTGCGGTGCCGCTTGGTGCTGTGCACACGGGTGGATCCGTGCAGCTCAACACCGCCAGCTGTGGGCAGGAATCAGCCCTGCTCACACGGCGGGCTGCATGAAGCACTGCTTGGCTGCATGAAGCACTGCTTGCAGGTGTGCAAACAGCAGCCGTGCAGCACTGCATGCACTGAGCCTGGTCTGCTGCTCCTCTCACTGCAAATGGAGACATTGCAACAGCTGCACGGATGGCAGCTCCTAGAGCAGCGTGCACTGCTCTGAATGGACTGAGAGCCACAGCTGCCAAGTTTACATTTAATATCAGTGACAGAGCAAAGCCCCGCAGTGCATAAAGCCCCCAGGTCCCAGCACTGCCCCCTCTGACCCCAGCAGCCCCGAAGATCCACCAGAGCCCCCCCAGCTTCCAGCAGCACTCCCTAAATCCCAGCACTGCCCCCTCTGACCCCAGCAACCCCCCAAGTTCCAGCAGTGCTCCCTGCTCCCATCAAAGCCCCCCAAGCTTCAGCAAAGTGCCCCCCTGACCCCAGCAGTCCCCCAGCTCTCAGCAGCGCCCCTAAAAACCCACTGGTGCCCCCCAAGCCCCAGCAGTGACCCCAAGTCTCAGCATCACCCCCCAAGTCCCAGCAGCTTTCTCGGCCCCCAGCCGTGCCCCTCAAATCTCAGCAGCCCCCCAGGTCCACGCGGTGCCCCCCACAAACGCACAGCGCAGCGCAGCGCTTCCCCCCGCCCGACGCACCTGCAGCCCCGCCCGGCTCAGCGCCTTCCGGCCCGGCTCAGCGCCGCGCTCTCCCCGCTCCATCCCTGCTGTCGCTCCGTTCCGTCGCAGCGCCTCCAGCCGCTCGCGTGCTTTTCTCTGACAAAGCACTTTTTTAACGCAGGAAAAATAAGGGCGGGTCGGAGCTCGGCACGCATGCCGGGAAATCTGCGGCAAAGACGGGCGGCGGCGGCGGCGGACGGAGCGCAGCCCCACGGAGCGGCCGGGGGCAGCGGAGCGGTGCTCGGAGGCACAGATCCACGCTCAGCCCCAGGGAGCCACGTAGAGCCCCGCAGAACTACACTGAGCTCCACGGAGCCGCGTTCAGATCCGCAGATCCACGCTCAGCCCCACGGATCGCTGCTCGGCCCCACGGGAACCAAGTTCAGCTTCACGGATCCACGCTCTGCCTCACAAAGCCTCATTCAGCCCCATAGAGCCACAGTCAGATCCACGCTCAGACCCACAGATCGCTGCTCAGCCCCACGGATCCACACTCAGTCCCAAAGGAACCAAGTTCAGCTTCACAGATCCTTGCTCAGCCCTACGGAGCCACGCTCAGATCCATGCTCAGCCCCACAGACCGACACTCAACACCACAGATCACTGCTGAGCCCCATGCTCAGATCCACAGATTGCTTCTCAGCCCCACAAAACCACGCTCAGCCTCAAGGAACCAAGTTCAGCTCCACAGATCCTTGCTCAGCCCCACGGAGCCACATTCAGATCCACGCTCAGACCCACAGATCGCTGCTCAGCCCCATGGATCCACACTCAGCCCCAAGGAACCAAGTTCAGCTTCACAGATCCTTGATCAGCCTCACAAAGCCACACTCAGCCCCACGGAGCTGTGCACAGCCCCACAGATCCATGCTCAGCCCCAAGGATCACTGCTGAGCCCCATGCTGATATCCATGGATTGCTGCTCAGCCCCACAGATCCTTGATCAGCCCCAAGGAACCAAGTTCAGCTCCATAGATCCTTGCTCAGCCCCACGGATCCTCACTCGAGCCCCATGAATCCACACTCATCCCCCACAGAGCCATGCAGTGCAGGTGATGCTCCCTGTGATGCGGCGCAATGCATGCAGTGCAGATGATGCTCCCCACAATGCACAGCAATCTATGAATTTGCAATCACGTGGGGCGATGCTCCTCAAGTGCTGTTCCCTGCTTTACGACACCTGCAGACAGCAGGCAGCAGAAAAGCAAACCGATGCATGCATTCACCTCCGGAATAAAGCACAAGTGCAGCCTTGCAAGCACACTGCCAGAACCACCACAGCCCACGTGCTCCTCTGCAGCTTTACCAAACCCAGTGGCAGCTGCACATCTCTGCATGTTCTGTTCCTTCCTGCAGTGCTGTCACTCTGCATGTTGCTCCCTGTCCTCAGGCATTGCTGCGCTCTGCCCTCTCCCATTACAGCTGCACTCATGCTTCCCTTCCATTTGCACCCACGCTTCCAGGAATGCACTGCGATGTTCTATTGCAGCAATGCAGAGCAGTGGAGCACTCCTCGCTGCACCTCAGGACCCCAGGAGTGCTGGGCTGGGTGACCTCATTCTATTTATACAAGCAAACGTTGAGGTTATTAATGGGAGTTTGCAGCAAGGCAGCTGCTCTGCTAATTAAATAAATTGTGAGCAAGTTCTCACGTCGGCAGCTATTACAAAGCAGGAGGGATTAATTGCACGGAGCCACGCAATGCAGGGAGCTGGTGGCATAATGCAACAAGCCTGACAGCAGG